GGACAGATGGGCAAACGAACAGGCTTTAGTGCATTCCGAATTTGACGCTGGTCAACAATTTATATACTTTATGGGGTTATTGAAGCTTGCTTGTTCGCATCCTAAAGGTTTTGACATAAGAATGAAAATTTGGTACACTCTAACGTTAAATAGGCGTTGGCAATTTTAGAGGTGCCATAGCATCGCCCATAGCAAATACGGTCCACTTTTTATAAGTTTTTCTGCTGTAATTTGTGAGTAATGAGCAAAAACCTATTTTTTCTCTTCTTGGGAAAACCGCCTTGGCCTCAGTTCACGCGGTGCTCCAGACCTTGTCCTTCGATTCGTTTAATCCACTTTTAATATCAATCTGTGTGCTAGGTTGGCAAATTTGAAGCCGGTAACGTCATTTTTACAACCAGAAGAACGTTTAAAAAGGCAGATGGACCGACGGACGTGTTTACATCACTTGAAAATTTCATGTTGATCAAGAATATATATATCCTTTATCGAATCTCTGGGACTTCCTTTTGAATGTTGCAAACTTTTTGACAAAATGAATATATTCCTCATCCTTCGGTAATGGGTACAAAAACAATAACACATTTATATGATAACAATATAACAACACACATGAACATTAACATGTACGAAGATATGCAAGTTTCGGTGAAGTTATGAGTTTAATTTGTTTTTTCTTCTCTTTTTGATGCAGCAAATATATACAAAATAATATTATACATATAATGCGCGTTTATCCTTTAAATAAACATTAATTCAATATTAAATATCGAGTATGCATTTAGGCATTTTCAATTCTTCTTCACGTTATTAATAATAAATAAAGAATATAAATATGTGTCTGGATATGCAGATGTACGTATATATGCATATAACGTTATAAGTAGATAGTCTAAAAAGTAATGGAACTTAGTAGAAATCTAAACTCCATTTTCCATGCATTTTTGGGCCAACCCTTTCTATATGCATATAAATTGAAATTTATTTCATAATAACATTTATCCCTAATGGCAAGAGGCTCAATATTTTTTACACTAACTAATATTACTTTAGTGTAAAGGGTTGAGCTATGAGAAAAAAAGAAGCATGGAAATATATGGACAAAAACTCGGAACTGAAAACCCATTGTTACGATACAAAAGTATTCTATGTCCAATCAGTAATTATGTACTTATTTACATGTGCTGGTATCAAATGCTAAATGAGGTACGTAAATCTTTTTCGTCTTAAAACGAATTTTGCATGCCCTCCATTATAAGTTAACTGTTACATGGAAGTACGACAGTTGTCCCGCTGTTGGGAGATCAGAAGATTTTCTTGGGTTTTAATCTCCGACGCGTACTTCACGATCGAATAATCTTTCTTTCAATCCACATTTTTTTATCAAAATTCATGCATTGTTAGGGGAATTTTCTCGAAAGGCAAACCAATACAGTTAACCTGTTTTAGAACTTTGAATAAACTTGGAATGTATAGCTGTGCCTCTCTTTATCTGTTCTCCATTTTGCTTGCTCTTTATTTTTCCTTGTTTTCGAAAAACAAATAAAAACACCGTAGTGGGCCACGAACCCTCATAAATTAGCCTTCACCGCTCTGCAGTTGTTCACAAAGAGACTTTCCAAAACAAGGCGTTATATGAGAAGTGGTTGGCAAAGTGATGTGATCCCACCCATGTTGAACACCGTTGAACACCAAAACAAGTAATTGTACTAAATTTCATCGATATATCCGAAAAATTGCACCCCGCAGGTTGAACGTAAGAAAACAAGACCTACAGACGCGCAGGCAAGCTTAGATCAATGAAGAAAGTGATTCTGAATCGATTAACACAATAAATTTTAGATTCTTCTCAAATCCTTTTGAATGCTGCATACATCCACACAAACTTGATATACCCCTGCGGTATAGGCTATTAAATAATATTATATTTTCGGCTGTCATTGCTTTCATTTGAAAACGAAAAATAGTTCGATTATCTATAATATTGGATGAGCGTGACCCATTCTCTTTTTTCTTGTACATGCAATGTAGGATCACCCAGAGTATAAACGTAAAAATTTTGATCGTCATACATTTTGTTGGTGTTGAGTATTATGTAAAAAACTCAGGAGGCAGAGGCATTTTCCGTTTAGTCTGCGCGTGCCCCATAATCGATTTAGTCATACCGTCTGCAAGAAATTGCAGCGCTCTGCCGAAATTTGAAAAATCGGGAAAATATTTATAACAAACGAACATACAGACGGACAGATGAAAAAAGGGAACTACTTAGATCGATCCACAAATTGACATATTTGTGAACAAGTCAGGGTTACATTGCGTACAGTTTGTTAATTATACAATCTACTTCTTGAGTTTAAAAATACCAAAAAGTTTCAATATCGAACGACCTTCAAGTAGCTGGCATTAAACTCATGTAGACTACTTGTTCAGGAGTTATTTGAGAGCGGTTGTCTACGGCACATACACGACAAAATTCTGTTCACGCATTAAAAACGAATGGTGAAAGGGCTATCGATGAAAGTAAGCCAAATTTAGTGAAAAGTGCTCGAAATTCTGGTTCGTCGGGCTATTTCCTGTAAAATCCGCCATGGCCGCTCTTTGAACGATGTTGTATTTAAATTTTAAAAAAAGTTTTTTTTTAACTTTTTCCAGCTGTTCTCGGAAAATCATATACTGCCTCCTCGAAAAAATGTATTATATTTGTGCCAATTTTTTTGCTTCAAACGAAATTCTGGTTTTTATTTCTATAAAGAATAATTTTCATATGGTATGTTTTTCACTTCACTAATCCGTTGAATTGTTATTTTTAAAAGTTCGATGTTCAAATCGTTATTTTCATGTTTAATTAAATGTTTCATTATGTTCAGCAAATGATTAGCAAGTATGCAAATATGAAATCGGAATTTTAACATTTTTTTTTTTTTTATTATGATTTGGACATCTGGCAACAATACCCAAAGATACTTTTTCTAATTGCAAGAAGCTTTCGGGCCGTACTTGTAACGTATACTAACTGCTAACGTGATGAAAGACGAATTTATTTTGAAAATATCAAGCGTAAAAATCTATGTTTTCCAGCCCTATCATTCACATCAACAGTGATATTGAATCACTTTGACAAGAAGTCGATATCTTGTGTTTGATAGGACCAGAAGATCTGTTATTAGCCATTCACGCCTGGTGGAATGATTAATACCAAAGAAGAAAAGCGTTTGCTGCTTAAAAAAGGCAATACTAGATAATTGTTTCCCATGAGACCTGACCATCCATCGATTCAGCAGATTCGGTTCGCGATGCGTTGGAAGCACGTAACTACGAAGTGTAGGCTCAAGCGGCTTACGTTATTAGAACTGAGTTAATCGATTTAACGAGGAACCGTCATATTCTTTCAGTTTCTTTCACTACAGAGCCTAACAAATAAGAATCACAACCGTTAAAACGGGCACAATCGAGTTTAATTTCCGGTACGGTAGAGAATACTTCAACAACGTTTGCCACGCAATCGCAGGTATAGTTAATGCGTGGTAACAGTTGCCCCTGACTGTCACCGTGCTTATACACTTACAGGGTACATCCTTTAACAGCGTTATCATAAAGTGAATGAAATTTTGAGCATACGCTAAGTAGAAGGATTAGCTTGCAATTTTTAGTTGTATAAAATTCCTACCAAATCAACTTTTAAGACCTGGACCCATTTATTACTTTGCCGGTTGATAGAATCTCGACGACTAACACGGTTAAGTTTAAGGAAAATATTGATAAGTCGATCTGACACAATATAACTAATTACATCAAAGATTTTCAAAATAGACTCAAAGTTGAGGCTGAATGAAGTAAGATACAACACGTAAAACTTAAGTCATTGTGAAGTCGTCTCTTCAGCACTTTGGCAGATGATCACTACGACGAACGTTAATCGATCATTTTGTTTTTATCACAATGTATGGACAATGACATTTGCGTACATAACGTCACACGGAGAGAGAGAGAGAGGGCGACCGAGAAAAGGAATAGGAGAGGTTTTTATGCGTTCACTAAATTGAGCAGAAAATACATAATTTAATCTATGAGAGATGTCCAACTTAGTGGCATAGCAAACATTTCCTGCAAAGGAAGGAGCAAAGCATTGCTCTTTCATTTCCTTTATAAAAACGTAATTTTCTTTCATCCACATTCATATCGGCGTTGATATCGCTGATCGATATCGATGGCAAGCTACCTGTAAATGAACCAATGACTTCTACGCTAAAGAAAAGAGTATTTCCTCTTTAGTCAAACTATAACGACAGACTTTTTGGCGATCCCTACTCACATTTATAATCTTTTCAGTCTTCATTTTATTTCTTATACGCTTATAATGCAATTAAGGTCAATTAGTCTTTAGTGAAATGATGTGCAATGCGTAAGTAAAATGGCTTAGCATATTTAATTGATTACGGATTAGATTTTTAATTTAATGTCGATGTATGATGAAATTGTAATTAACAATCTCTTACGCACTTATAATTGAACTTTCCAGTTTATTAGAGACTATTATTGAACAAATGAAGTATGTGTTTGTGAGTGTTTTTTTTTTTTTGAGGAGGTGGGTAGGCGGTGGTGGAAGGGAACTTAACACTAACATCGTTTATAGCAATATTAATTAATTAAATGCAATCAAATAATTTTCGAAGCCGATTAGTCAAGTAGTTTGCAAAGGCAATGCTGATTATAGACTGACCAAGTACAATGATGTATTTATTCCTATATGTGTATAGTATGTATGCATAATCAGTCGTCAAACAAAAACCTCTAATGGTCAGTTTATGCTTTCAACCTAAGTAAATAAATATCCTAACATTGAACTGAATTGATGTAATGTAATAAATGTATATGTGGTATGTAATTATGTTTGTGTATTACAGTTTATTTCTTTGTTAAGATCATCAAGAAGAAAAAAAAAATTGATTAGACAGGTGCAAAACAAGCTAATAGAATATTTGAAAATTTTAAAATCATACCTGCTCCCTGCTCCCGCGCCTCGTTCATAACGGTCATCAGTATCGTGATGAGAAGCGGGGACCGCACGTTGACGTGCAGTTGTGCTTGTACCATAACCGCTACTTGTAGTGCTACTACTCGATGGCGTGGTATAAGCTGATGAAAGTCTGGAGGTGGCATCGTCGCGTGAATTGCGTCTCGCTTCAAGACGATCACGAAAAGATGAGGCAGCTGAACTTCCAGCCACCGCGGTTGAAGAATTTGTGCTAGCTGTAGTCTTATTTGCACTATTCGCTGATGTTTTTGCAGATTGAGTGTCAATCTCGTCTTCCGATTCTTCAGTTGAGGTTTCCTCCTCACTACTAGAGGATGAGTCTGTTTTGTTCTTATCCGCTGCCGCAGTACTATGTTGCGGTAAAAAGCGACTTACGAACGGTTTCTTCTCCGTCGAAGCTGGAGTGCTAGTTGCCGGAGCGATTGTTGTCGGCCGCGTACGAGCAGGACTTTCACGAGCTGTTGAATAGCGGCTGACAGACGGTGCGCGACTTGTACTAGTTGGTGCTGTCGATGCAACAGCCGCAGCAGCAGCCACCGAACTGACTGAACTTTCAGCCGAGGCACTCGAATCACTGCTACCCGAACGTGTACTTTTCTTTACCGCTGTCACTTGTGGTGGCACTGGCGGTACTGTTTTTGACTGTTGAGTAGGAGGAGATCCGTCAGAGTCTTTATCAGAATCACTGACATTCTAACAAATTTTAATGCATTTGCATTCAATGTTTGTAGTTTTCAATTTTTCATTTTTTTTTTTTTTTTTTTTTTTTTGTATTGCATATTTATGGTTTTTTTAAGACGATGATGCGATCGAAAGGCAGATTATATGAAGAAACATGACAGGCGCAGAGAGAAAAAGTAAATGATAGAGAGGATTTTATGCGCGTGAACCGTGATTTAAGCAAACGAAGGCAATAAAAGAAAAAATATCAAAGAGCTTATAAATAATGAAATAATTAAAAAGCAATCAAAGTTAGGGTAAGGTACTTGAAATGTTTACAATTTAAAGGACAAACAGAGCAGAGATTTTTGTACTAAATCAATCTTTTTTTTTTTTTTTTGTTTAATTTCAGGCTAAGTGCCTGTACTTTGTATACATGTAACAGCAACGATTTTTGCATTTAATACTCTGCATAGAAATGATTAAAAGAATTGTTTTCTAAAGGGATCTAAATGTACATCAGGAATTCAAAAGACCCGAAATGATGTCTTAAATCTTTCTAGAAGAAATCAAATATCAAAAGTAAAAAGAAAATCTTTAACATGATAAGTAATAGTAACAAAAACAATAATAGTGAATATTACTGCAATAAGTTGTAAGTAATTACACGTCATTATAATCTATTATTAATTGAAATTATTTATTTTTGAAATTTTGAAAACAATTATAACTTAACATTTTACCACACACTCTTAAAGAGTACTTAAGGCTTATAATACAAACTGTTTTTCCTTTTCGTATTTTTTTCTTTTAATGCAAACTTGACAAACACAATTAACAAGGTAACATAAGTCTCATAACAATAACATCATCAATTATGCAAGCTTCTGATGTCCTTTTATTTGTACGACATGTAGTGTACTATGTGAGCTGGTGGCGTATAAGTGGTTATATGTGTGTATTAATTTGGGCAAGAGTATGAGCAGAATGATTCTAAGAAATGAGAAAGGAGTGAGTGAGAAAGCAACAAAACGAATTGCTTCCCTTTCTTCCTCTTCCATCGAAAGACGAGGATCTATTGATTTTATTAGTGCCTTAACCGAAGAGTTAATAAGTTACATAAATAAACGTTAGTTGCCTAAGTACCTCCTAATGTTTTTCCTTTTGATTTGCAAAGTCTACCTTTTTAGTAAAAAAATAGAAACTTTTCTAAATTTTTTATGAACTTTGTCAAACTTCACCTTCGAATTTAGCAGTCTTAGGTACACAAACGCTCATATGTCGTCGCTATTGTCATCTCGTTAAACAAAGAATTGGCGGCCGCGTAATAAATTCCTACCGGTATATATTTTGCAGAATAGTTCTTTGCCGAAATAGGACGCAAAAGTATAAGCACTTGAGGCAGTGCTTCAGGAGAGACTCAAACTTATCAGAATCTGTGCATATTCCTGCTTAATTTATGTATCAATTACATGCCATACATGAACCATTGAAGTCGAATATTAATGCAATTCATAAGTCCAAAGCAATAAGCTATGAGACGACAGTTTTTGCCGCGAGATAATTCTCAGCAGTTTGATTGCCAATTGCTCACTTTTATTCCACTGAAGATTGTTATTAAGGAAAGTCACCAAAATAAGGCCTTGAAAAACCAAACGGAATGAAACTATATTTATAAAGTTTCGCGCATTTCACATCAGCCATGTTCTGAGAGTGAACAATGCCTATTGTTGGAAAGTGCTGTCAAGAGTAGGGTACTTTCGGTAAATATTTTGTGAATTGGAATCTCATGATAAATATTTTGAGATGAGTTCAGTTGCAACCTGAACAGCGTTGATGGAAACTATGTTCGATCTCAGTGAAAAAACGCTATATAAGCTCGATAAGTTTGAAATGCCGTACACCATTTTTTTCCCACATCCATTTATTTATTTGAACGTTGTAAATCCGTTCGACATTCATCCTTCTCGCTTCGGCTGTGTGCCTAGTAATGGGTCTGTCCCTCTATCTCGCCATTCGTCCAATTCATCCAATAATAACGTTACAAAAAGTGAAACCTTTACACAAATAGTTTTTTTTTAGTTTTGTGCTTCTCTGAAACCTTTTCTCAATCAAATAGAATATAATCCGAAAATAATTAGATCCCGTCAAAAGTTCGATATGAAAATCGTTTAAAATGTCCAGCTAACATATCCGTTATTTAGAAAAAGTCGAATGAAGTGATGGAGTGAAAATATTCATATTATTCTGGTATAATATTGAATGCTTGTCATGTTAATCACTAACTCTACCTTCCAGCTGAACTCATTATTACATACACTTTCGGAAACAATAATTTTGTATTGCATAGGATATTTCATAAAAGAAGCGCAAATTATTTTCTTTCCGCTCCAACGGTAAAGTTTTCCTTATCTAATTAAATCTGAAGAAAATTCTTTATTAAAAGGTCACGCTATCATGTCTGACACCATTCTTATCCCTTCGCATATGTATGGATGCATTGGACTCTTAAGCTTAAACATATATATAACAGTTTCAGGTTAACGTAGAATAGTGATGCTCTTAATTTAATAAAATTCGTTAATAATATGAGGGTTACATAAACAAAACAGAACAATTATTTCGAACAGGGAATAGATGTGAATTGAAACAAAGAAGAGGACAATACAAAAGGATTAACAAAGTAAACTTTTATATAAAAGATTCTTTATTTATATATTAAATGTTAATTAAATATGCAATAAAAAAAACATCACAGGACAATCACTGGATAAGATAACAAGGAAAATGAGTTACGACGAGCCGATTGTAGAGGATTTGCACGTCGAAATGACCTTTAACGTCTTAAACTATTCAACTATTCTTCAACTATTAATTGTTTAACTACCATTACTGCTATCTTCTTCAGTATCTTGCTCATCTGTTTCTTCTTCCACTCCATCGACAGCTTCTTCAGTCCTAATTTGATTATTCGAAAGGTCTGAAGTTTCTTTAACTGGAATTGTTGTTGCGCTACTAAGGTCTGCTCTATGGCTAACAAAAACGTTTGAATTTTTTATTTCATTCTCACCTTCCTCACTTTCTACATCACTTTCTACACTTTCTTCTTCCTCTTCTTCGCTATCTTCACAATTCTCCTGGGAAATTAATTCTAACCGTGAAGGTTCAGCTTGTCTTGAACTCATTGTTTCACTCGCGTCATTTTCTTCTACACTCGCCTTTTCATCTTCCTCGCTTTCTTCTTCGACATCGTCACTGCTGCTATCATTGCTATCTTCTTCATTTGTTTCATTCACACTCACCTCTGTTCTAGGTGGGGTCCTACGCACTGGCGACGTGTGTTGGGAGGAGCTGTCACTCTCTTCGCTATTGCCCAATGAACCCACGTTTCGTTTCAAAGCGGCTACCCGATCCACAGCGGGACGTTCGGTTTCTGTAAGCGATTGTACAGTTGCTGAAGTCGTTGTACTTGAAGTGCTGGGAGCATTTTTATTCTGACGTTTGATACGATTTATTTCATCGTCTTCGGAAACTTGTCTTTGAACGCCAGACTGTTGTTGAGTTTGCCTGGCCCTGGCCATGGCCGCTTTTTGCGCTTGAATGGCTGCTTGAACAGCTGCTTGGGCACCGGCGTCAGACTTCTTCTCTTTTTTCTCTTTACCAATTTCTGCTAAACGCTGAATGACCCGGGCGCAATCGCTTAAACGTATAATGCCGCTTAATTGGCCGCGGGAGGCGTCTTCGCCATCTTTAACTTTATCCTTTTTCTTTTCTTGCTCTTGTCGTTGCGATAGCTGTTGCTCGCTATCGGAGTCGTCATTTTGATGGGAACGAACGAAACGTGAACGGAAACGCGATTTTGCTGGGCGAGTAGATTGTTCATTATCGTAATCATTATCGTAGTCGTAATCGGGTCGACTGTAACGGTTCGAGCTTATATCACTATAACGATCGGTATTTATCCGCACTGGACGCTCGCCAAATTTGCGACCACCCAATACCGGTTCGTCATTATAACCACAGCGTTCCTCTTGCTGACGATACTGGCTAGCTAAACGGTGATCACTTTTCGAACGCATCAAACCTGGCTGTAGAGTTGAAGGTGGAGCCAAATGAGCACTGCTAGTTGACCCTCCTGTTGAATGAGTCATTATATTCAAATCACCAAAAGTAGATAAGTTCATGACCAATTGATTAGGATCCATAGAAACTACAAAACGCACACGACGTGTATAATCGGAATTTTCATATTCAAAGTGACGCAAAAACTCAACAGTCTTCAAAAAGATCTCCTTCGTATCCATTAGTTCGCAATCGTCCCAGTCTACTGCATCATTCATATATTTATCAACTATGTCACAGTTACTGTTAATATTGTTAATTTCAGCGTCCAGATTCTCCTTCAATGTGCTTAGGTTACGCAACTCCCCCGTCAAATAACGGTCGATTTCACCTTTCAACTGATCGGAACGGTCTTTAATGGCTTTTGTTACTCGTCGATAAATTTCATCAATTTCCTCGGTAGTACTGGTACAATTCGTTTGTAAACTCACCATATTTTTCTCAATTAAAGCTAACGCATCTTGTAGTCGATGTAAACTACGACGAATCTAAGGACAGAAAAATCATTAAAATTTCAATTTCTCGTTACGAGCTCAGCTACCTGCGAATTGAAACGTGCTATTTCGCGTCGCAAAATGTCCATATGCGCACTTTTACAGTCCTCGCATATCTTCTTCTCACAATGTGCACATGGTTGTAAATATGCTTTTTCAGAGCAAACATTACAACGTTCCATGATTTGTCCTGGAACGAGGAATCAACGAAAAGTAGATCAATAATATATTACACTGAAGAATAGAAAATCAGGAATAAAGCACTAGCAAGCATGTAAAGTGTTCTTGAAAGTTCCCAACCTGAAAAACTATCAGTTAAACGACAACTATCAACAACAACCAAAAAAATTCAAAGATATTCTTATACGTATTAAAAAGGAAGCTAAAATAATATCATCATTCATTCTCGTCATGAAATGGCATTGGCGCTTTTAACACTAAACTAAATCGTAGCACGCACACATTAGACAATTGAAACTGGTCCAATAACTGCTGAAATTCGCATAAGTTGTATTTTACAATTTTATTTTGATAAAAGCGCAAGTATGATAACACTTTTGCTTTTTATGGGAAACGTAGGAGAAGGTAGCCCAGTTGCGTCATACCCCCTTTTTCGATTTTTAGAAGGCCATTTACGTTGATCAACATGCAATAGACGAATTTTCCATATTTCGTTTAAAGTCGAGCAAAATCGCAAACAACTAGGCTTTTCATTGCCAACTATCTGTGCATTCTACACCACATTTTATCAGTGGAGTTAAGGCTAGCTGGCTTTAAAAAGCAGGAAAAGAGGTTAATTCGGGAATGCAATAACGCACTGTAGGTAATCAGTGTAGTGGCGACGAGGGAGAGGTTGTGGCAGTCGTTTTTTGCTTTGCTAGTTTCCCCCGATCATTGGAAAATTGATGACAAGATAAACGTTATCGGAGGCGCTTTGTTGCAGCCCATGCCGAATAGCTCGCACTGTAGGCGATCACTGCAGTGGTGCGTGCGGGGGGCAGGTATGATCGCCGTCCCTTACGTCGGTAGTTTCTCCCCGCCCATTGGAAAATGTATGAGAAAATAAACATTATCGGCCAGGTTTTTATACAACCCACGTCAACTCGCGTTTCAGAAAGTTTCGTACTCTGTATTAGTGTACAAAAATTTATAGAAGGGACATCAAGTGCCCGCATATGTACCTCTGAAGCCTGATCGAACGAGAAAAAGGCACAAGTTTTCAATAAACTTGTGCTTGAAGATGTGACACGCATATGATGGCCGCCTGTGATCTATGGCCTATCAAATTGGATGTTCGTGGACCAGAGAATTGGTACACTTATGAGCAGATTGGCCCTTCGAATAGCATTGTCATGGCTCTTTCAGATTGTCACTTATTTCGCTCTCTACACGACTTTCCGAACGATGCCAAGTTGTAGAAGAGATCTGTAAGAACTGTATGCCCCAAATGCTTGCCTTGGCATTACAAAATGTTAAGAGGAACGAGGTTATAGTATGCAGGCAGGCTCAGTATTTTTGAGGAAACTTATTACACAAATTTATTTTCACTTAAAAGTGCCGACGTATTCTTTTAAATGGTGAATATTGAATTTCAAAAATGTGCTTAAATCTGCAAATCCTCTTATTAATGTCATAAATGATTTTAAGGAATTTTCCTGTTTTTTCCCATGTTTCTTTTTTTCATTGTCTTCTTGTTGCCCATTGCGCTCGTTTACTACCAATGAATGTTGAGTGCAGGTATGCGACAGAATATCGAATCATATGGAAAGTATACATATAAACAGTATTCTTTTTTATTAAATAATCAATACACAGTGAGAAGAGACAACAAAGGAAAAAATTTTAAATCTTCTTGGGCGGAAATGTTACGAAAATATAAACAAGGAAGGAAAGTAAAAATCTAATAATTCCGCAGATTCCGCAGAAATTGTGTGTGACGTGGTGGATTCATTTTAGTGTCCATCAAACAGGAAAAGCAGAAAAATCATTTTACAAATTTTTCCCAAGTACAAGCCCCCTATCGAATATTCACGCTTAGGTATGTATGTGTATATGCTTACACACCTTATGTCAACGTCAAACTTGAACGCTTCGGGAAAATATAGGTTATGAATAAATGTTATTTTTAAAATATACTTTCAGTATATTCTGGATATTCCAGTGATGTAAATTTGCAACTCGCCGTCGAATTATTGCCTAAATTAGTTAACAGGATATATTTGTGTACGTAATTGCTTTCAATATACGATAATATTTATGATTGAATATAATAGCGAAGTCGCAGATAAATACAAGAGAAACTGATTTCCGTACTCACACATATGATACTTATCTTATGATCTTATGACTTATTATCTAATGAGAGATATTTTTTTATACCCATTACCGAAGAATGAAGGGTATAAAAAAAATTCAAAGTGGTTGCCACGCCCACAAGGTATATGTATTCTTGATCAGCATCAAAGTCTAAATTGATTTAAGCATATCCTGGCAGCAAAAATGAAGCTATCCACTTCACATTTGGCAGAAACAAACATACAAAAGTTCTCGTACGCAGGTTGGTATTGAAAATGGGCCAAATCGATCGAAGGACTCACCCGCGGAACCAAGTAAAATGAGAATGAATAAAAAATTGTTTTTTTCCTCATTACTCATAAACTATAGCAGATAAATCTACAAAAAATTTGAACAAATGCTCTATGGGCGATGCTCTAGTACCTCTACCAAAATGGAAAAAATTGCCGACGTGTCCACTTCTTATCATAGACCATGAAAATTTAGTTCTTTCACTTTTTTTTTCTCTCTTTTAGGATAACGGTAATGGGTATAAAAGATTCGATCGCGGCCGATTATAATTTTCTTATTAGTTTTTTTTTTTCTTTATTTGCTTTATATCACATTTTTCAGTATAAATAATATGACGCTGGGATTATTAAATAAACGGTTGATTGAAATATAAGTAAATTTGTTGATTATATCGGCAGCGCATATACGCGCATTAGAAATGTGCGTATGCCGTAATAATGCATCAAAAATGTTTTCGATATCAATTTCTCTTACGAACAAAAGCTAGTTTCATATCAACAACCCAGATTTTGTAAACCAAGAAACCCAACAAATTAAGCAAAATATGCATTTTTTTGATCTTCGATGCATTTGTGCAAATTTAACCGGATTATATTATACGATTATCTTCTATCATCTGCTGCTAGTGGATCTGGTAAATTTGTAAAAGTTAAATTGAAATCTATAAACATTCAAAAGATCAAAGTTGAGAACACGTGGGATCTTCCCGCACAGGCACCTACTATATCTGAAAACAAAAAGTGAAGCACGAAAAGCTCTTCCGCCTTGGAGTTAATAAAGCGCGGGAAAACCGTAAATTAAATTTATATGGTTTCTGTTGCCATAAGATATTTTAAGTGGTGATAAGAGAGGCTTGATCTTTTCGTTGAAAAGTTACCCTTGGGTAATACGAATAAATCAGTTTTTTTCGGACACAACTTGGTTTAGGGGCTACAAATATCATATTTCGTTTCGATTGCAAACGACATTTTCTCGTAAACACTCGTACAAAAAATATACCACATGTTTCCATATATTTATATTTATAAGTATGTCTATATAAGTATTTATATGTCTATATAAGCATTTATCTAGACATACTTATATATATTGTGAGGAACCAAAGTAGTCCCTCGTTTTGGCGTCACAGGTTTTTCGTCTCTGAGGGGGAGTGCTAGAACGAGTTAGGCTAAGAGAGTTATCATTTTTTGCAGCGATGATCAACAGGAGAACTGAAACGAAGAAAAATCAAGACAAAGATAGAAATTTCTTGTGAAACAAAACCTGGAGCCGCTAAGCTACCCCAGCACCAGGTTTTGGACGAAAATAACCTTCGCAATGTATACATTTACTTCTTCGTTTTATCTGCATTATGCATTTTATATAATTTATCATCGTAATTAGTTTATAAGTAATATATTTTTGTCTAAAATTTTAATATTATTATTATTCTATTTGTCTAATTTTTTAATATTTTAATATTATTAGTCAGTTGGCCGCGGAGTGAGTGAAAGAGTGGTTGTTTTGGTCTGGTTGGTGCGGTTGCAATGATGGTGGTGATAGGTCTTTAGATTAAGAAAAGTGAATTTATATTTGAAGTAGAAAAAAGGTAAAATTGTAATTTCAAACAAAAAATACTGAAATATATTTTTAAGAGAAAATATTTTAAATAAATACAAAAATCTTATATAAATTCAAATTGAGAAAATAAAAAGCCATTCAGTCTGTTTTAAAGAAATATTGATCAACGGCAAAAGGAAACTGCAAGAATTTTATTTTGCTGCAGTGACGATTAACAGTGGAACAGCCGCTCGAGCCGCTGAGCTACCCCAGCACGAGGTTTTGGGCAAAAATAGCCGTTTATAATATAAAACCGTACCTGAGTAAGCAAAGGATCGCCACCGACAATTCAATGGATGCGGGTTCAAATCTCAAGTGCGGCAGAGTTTTATCACTAGGAAGCTTAGGAACATTTGCCTACAATGTCAGTGAGTTTAAAGTATTAAATTGTAAGTTTGGTACATTTTGTTTCTCCTACCTCTATCTATGTGTTTGATAAGAAACGCGTTTTCTAGGATTTACTGGAGATAATGGGTAGAAGTCCCCCCGGAGAAAGTTCACGCTTTACCAGTACAATGCGTTGCAGAGTTGGTACGTTGGCTAGGCAGCCATTCCAAAAATAATAAGACTAATAGTCAATCTTTTAAAAGTACATTTTAAAAAAAAATTCCCAAGTTTTTTGTTATTTTTTTTGACTAAATCTCTAACGAAAGGTTGGATAAATTTTAACGCACAACTTCAATCTCCAGTTACATTCATCGTATTATTACCATTGCTATTACTATTATTGTTATTCCAATCTAGTTATAACCTCTTTGCTAAACAAGCAACCGAGTGAAGAAGCATTTTTTCAAACGGAATTTAAAAAAAGAAAGCAAACTAATCCAGACCTAGCAAACCCAATACAACTAAGCTATTAAATATTATATGTTTTCATTTATTAAATAAAATAAATCACAAATACAACCTATTGTGTAGAAGAATTCTTTTTGGAAAATCTCTTTTAAAGAGCTCTAGAGACGTGAAGATGAATGCGCGGTCAATCGGTTGCCATTTATCAAAATTATATTTATTGACCGAGATTCAACTGCAAAAGGTAATCTAAAGATCAATCATAACCAGTCATCGCCAGTTTCAATCAGTAGTAATAACTCGAAAAAGTTTGGCAACTATGCCCGCGCATTGTGGTCGTACTGTTTTACTTTGTATAAAAAATTTTGCAAAAATCAATTCTTTTTTTTATCTTATTGCTTTATGCATTTTTAAAGCCCAACTAATTATAAAAGTACAGAAGTGTTCAAATTAATTGCACTTTTTATCGTTCCTCTTGGTTTTTGCAATCATCGCTTGATACTTCTCGTTAATAAATTTCTTTCTTTCTTTTTGCGTGTTTAGAGCTTTTCTCTTCGCTTGTTCCTTATTTACTGTGTCTTAACTAGCGTGAAGTTCACGTCTAACTTGAGACATCCTTTTTGTGCACTCGAAAATCTTTTTTGATTTTTTGTTCTGTTTTTCATAATCGCTATCTTGTCTGTCACTTTTGGACATAGAGTTTGCTTTACATTATGTCAAACGGCCCTGAAGCTGAACGATTCATTACTTGTTGACTTTGCGAAGATTTTGTCATGCAAAGTGTGCAGGTATCAACGGCCGTGATGCAGATGTATTCCTAGATCCTTCGAAAGGTTTACGGTGGTCAGGTTGCGACTTTACGAAGCGAACTATTGACTTTAATAACTTGTTCACGGAGACAAAGAACGCGTTTTCTAAATTAAGCAAAAATGTCGTAACTTTGTATGGAAAAATGGAAAAATTCGAGGCAGTGTTCCATGAGTGTCTGGAGTACTCATCTTTTCCCCCATCCTGTAAAAGACCAACACATAGCGTAGCGTGTGGTACGTCACTTCCTGCTTCGCCCTCGTCGACTCATGTGAGTTTACCTACGAAGAACCGTTATCATTGAGTAATAAAAAATCTACAAATAAGCCGGGAAACCCTCCTCGTTTAAGCTAAGCTGAAATGACAAGAGTATCTCCTCCGAATAGTGCCATTCAGTCTACTCAGTGTACATTTCCAAAAAATATTAATAAAAATAACAAATTTGCCTCCCACCTGCCTTTTCGGATGTGTCTGCTGGTCACCATTGGCTTTGGGCAAGTCGTACAAGCTGCACGTGTAAATGTGCTCTCCCCCTCTATATTTTCACCAAATCAAATCTCTTTACATGCGAATTCTATTTTTTCTAGTAGGGATGACGTCTGCTTGACGAGGAGTATCCCCTAGAAAGCCAATACTCTTGTCTACGCTGACGGTTGACACTTCTGACGATAATATAAAAAGTTATTTGGCTCTAAAGTCCCGTCCGTCAATTTGAAGCGTGTAAGCATTTTCAAATTAGCTCCGTCGCACCTAGAGCTATCTCCTTTTTTAAAGTGTTAGTTCAGTGTGAGAACAGGGAAATTTTGTTAAACACACCATTGTGGTCAGATGGATCCTTAGTTAAAGAATGCATCCCTCGCGATCAACCACGTAATACTAATTCGGTCTTTCATCTTCAAAAAGCTAAATGTTTCTTTAGGCCATGTAACTTTTATTTACCAAAATGTTAGGGGCCTAAATACAAAAATTCGCTCTACTTTTCTAAATTCAGTGAGCGAGGAGGTTTCCTGCTTGACCATCACTGAAACTTGGTTAAAGCCTGATTTACATTCATCGGAACTTTTTCACAATTCTTTCCAGGTTTTTAGAAAGGATCGATTGGATTGCACTAGTGATGGTACTTTAATTGTCACATCTGCT